GAGAGAAATTTTGTGGTGATAATAACGAGCATAACAGTGATAACCATATAGTAGTTATTATCGCTCTTATTAACACTGATATGGGAATAAGAGCTTAAAAGAATCTTCGGCACCATAACCTAATAATAATTATTAGAACAACTGCAATAAAAAAAAAGAGTTACAGCAACGTAAGATTATATACGATCGGTATTTCATTCATTACACATTAAATTTTTTCTTGTCGAGATCAACACTGACCTATCATATTTCTCTGGATTTTTATTTAAAGATAGAGAAAAATAAATAGAGATTCGACCTCTCAAATTAGGGTCATACGGTGGCAGAAAATTCTACATAATTTGCGTATGGGTTTCTGATCTTAAGTAATTGTGGTAATTACTGTTATTTAGATAAAAATCAGGTTAATAAGTCTCAGTATTAAGGTTAAGATCAATATAATTAGCTTCATTACTAAGATAAAAATCAATAAAATTCGCCTTAATATCATTATATTTACTGATTATTGTCATTATTCGATTAGTATTGTTATTATGATCAATCTTAGTACTATCATTATTATATCACTAAGATTTACATCGTGTGTGTTACTATGATTATTTTCTTTGCCATTATCATTATATCTATTTCTTATCGGTATCAGTGCATTGATAGGAGCAGAATAATCATCGAATGATAGTAATTTTCATAACGATAATGATAGCAATAATGATAATGAAAGTAATACTAATAATGATAATAATGGTAATAGTAATGATAATAAAACTAATAATGATGATAGTAATAATGATGATATATATATGAAAGTGCTGGTCATTACTGCAACTTACTAACAAAAGTTATAAATTAAATGATAATGATTATCATTCTTCTTACCATCATAATCTTATTGTTATTATTAGCAGTACTATTACATTTATGTTTATAATACTAATTATAATATTGATGATAATGATAATAGTATGTCATAATATTAATACTAATTATTATTATAAGGATGATAATAAAATAATAAAAATAACAACAACAACAATTATAATGATAATAACAATGATGATGATGATGATGATAATAATAATGATAATAATAATGATAATAATAATAATAATAATAATAATGATGATAATAATAATAATAATAATAATAATAATAATAATAATAATAATAATAATGATAATAATAATAATAATAATAATAATAATAATAATAATAATAATGATAATAATAATAATAATAATAATAATAATAATAATAATAATAATAATAATAATGATAGCAGTAGTAGCAGTAGTAGTAGTAATAGTAGTAGTAGTAGGAGCAGTAATGATAATTTTGATGAAAATTTGCATTATTATTTGTGATAATAGCACTGACAATTATAATAACTGCAACAATAATGAGGCTAATGATAATAACGATGATAACAATAGCTATAGTGATAATAGTAATAATGATAATGATAATAACAACATGAATATGATGATCATAACAATAATGACAACGTCGATGGAAAAAAGGATAATATAAATATTAACAGTAACAGTAATAACTATAATAATGAGGCTTATAATAATCATTATCATCTTGTAATTATTTTCTTGTTAATATCACTATTATTTCCGACACTGTTATAAGAACCATAGCAACTGTAATGATCAATTCTTTTAACTTAATAACTTGTATCGCCATTTTGTTTATAACGTTCGTTGTTTAACTTCGAACTGAATAAAAATCTCCATTCATTTGCACTTACATTTTAGAAAATGATTTATCCCCTTTTACGAGACTCAGTTAGGTAAAACTATGGCATAATGATTGTATTGACAATCAGATTTATGTTAAAAGAAGGAGAGAAAGAGAGACGGAGGGAGAGAGGGAAGAGGGAGAAGGGAGGGAGGGAGAGAGGGAGGGAGGGAGAGAGAGACAGATAGAGAGAAGAAGACAGAAGATAGAGAAGATAGAAGAGAGGAGAGAGAGAGAGAGAGAGAGAGAGAGAGAGAGAGAGAGAGAGAGAGAGAGAGAGAGAGAGAGAGAGAGAGAGAGGAGAGAGAGTGAAGAGGAGAGAGAGAGAGAAAGAGAGAGAAAGAGAAAGGGAGGGAAAGGGAGGGAGGGAGAGGAGGGAGGAAAGAGGGGGGAGGGAGGGAGGGAGGAGAGGGGAAAGAGAGAGAGAGAGAGAGAGAGAGAGAGAGAGAGAGAGAGAGAGAGAGAGAGAGAGAGAGAGAGAGAGAGAGAGAGAGAGAGAGAGAGAGATGTATATATATATATATATACTATATACATATATATAAATTTCTTTGCCTATTTATCTTCGGTTATTTGAATGGCATATGTGCAGAGCGAAGGAGTGTCTCTGGAGGATCAGGAAAGCTACACCTCCATTTTCTTCTTAAAGAAAACGGGAACTACATATCTGAAAAAACGGGAAACCTTTACATCCTCGGGTTGGACTGAAAAAAAAATCAATGTAGTCTAAGGGAAAAGTTCATATGAAAGAATGGGCCAGAGCAACGAAAAAAATAATATGATGAAGATATGATGAGATGCAAAAGGGGAATGTGCATAAGAAAGAGCAAAAAACATAAAAAAGAGAATAAAGATGATGATAATAACGATAACAATAACAATGATAATAATGATAGTATCAATAATGGTAATAACAATAATATTTGTAATAACAGTAACAGTACTAATAATAGTAATAATAGTACTGATGATAATAATAATAATAATAATGATAGTAATAATGATAATGATAATAATAATAATGATAATGATAACGATAATAATAATGATAACAACAATACTACTACTACTACTAATAACAATGATAATAATATCAATAACAACAACAATAATAGTATTAATGATACTAATGATTGTGATACTAATAATGATAATAACATAATAATAATAATAAAAAGTAATAATAACAATACAATAATGATGATGATAATAATAATAATTACAATAACAATAACAACAACAAAAATAATAACAATGATGATAACAAAGAGAATAAAATAATGATAAAAAGGAGGGATGGCATTATGCAATAGTGGAACATACCAGTGCAAGATCCCGCCATATGAATGTGTAGGAAAACATTAATAAATATAACAGAAAAGAGAAGAAATAATAGTTTAATGCAAATAACAATAAGCTTAAAGAAAGAAAATGAAATAAAACATAATTGGTCTACCACATATATTACCACATGAAGGAATGATCTGAAATAAAACGTTTAAATATAGTTTAACCTGAAAGAAAAAAAAATCAGAAATAAAACGATACGGATGTAAACAAACATCGTAAGTAAAAGTCCGACGTGAGATAAAACTCTAAGGATAAGGTTTAACAAACGTTTATATTTGCAACACGAAAACTTGCAGCATAAAAGGGAGGTCTATTACAAACCTGCAAGCACAGATATGCATCAGAATTGCGGGAACTCGTAAAATGATGCACATCACACACAACAGGTCCGCCCATGATCTCAGAGAATGAGGTCACTGAGTAAATTTCGTGGAATTAAAGACACAGGCAATGCATAGATATATATATATATATATATATATATATATATACCATTCTTCTATACGAATGCAGTCAAACAACTACTAGTGTGTTTGTATGTTAGATTTGCTTCAATATATATATATATATATATATATATATATATATATATATATATATATATATATATATATGTGTGTGTGTGTGTGTGTGTGTGTGTGTGTGTGTGTGTGTGTGTGTGTGTGTGTGTGTGTTTACATATATATATATATATATATATATATATATATATATATATATATATATATATATATATGCACACACACACACACACACACACACACACACACACACACATATATATATATATATATATATATATATAATATATATATATATATATGTTGTGTGTGTGTATGAATGAAGTGAAGCACATAGAGCATTTGCATGAAGAAATGTGTGTACGGGATATATGTTTAGTCAGTATGAACACATACGGAAAAAAATGCAGATTACAGATGCTGCATTATGGGTTATTATGGGTTTCCTTATATCCGATGCAAACAATTTTCAGTGCTACTGTTTTTACATTTTCACTCTGGAGTTTTATTACTACCGTATATAGAGTCGACTGATATAGCACAAAATTATCATATTGCGAGTTTACAGATTTAGCAGTGACCGTAATAAATCAATTCGTTGATTTTTTCCACGTATTACGAACGAATTTGCGCGCAATGATGACAAAATGTTTATTTTTGGAAACGTTCAACCAGTTGAGATACGCGCGTAAAACGTTATAATGAAGTAATATGACTAGACATACATCATAAAAGGACAGTGGTAGAAGTGTGGTTCATCACATGACGGTGACACGTGCGAGGCCACTTACCGGGCAATGGTCAGAATCTAGTCATACCGAGGCGTCCATTAGAGGAACTTGTGATTCAAATGGTGCCGGTGTTATTGCAACAATCGTCTCCGGGAGTTATTTATATAAATATAGAGTCGCAAAAAGTATGATGAGCAATGTAATTCGCAGTTCGATTTATTTGGTTAAATACAGTTTGAAAATTCTGAGTTTTCAGTGATTAATGACAAGGAAAATGGGAGAAAATAACTTGTGCAAAGGTTAATGGAATAAATGTGGAAATCGGCATTACTTTCTAAAGTATAAAAAAAAAACTCGATATCTTAACGACAATTACAGTTTTAGAGAAATTTCATGTATCTGATAAAGTGACGTAAGAGAGAACTACATACCTCAAAAACTTTAATTTCGCTTAATAATATTAAATACGCAAATGAAAATCGCAAAAACTACTCATAATAAGAATTTTTTATACCAACCGTGAAAATAACCCGAGATCGAAAATAGTAAAATGGGTGACCACCGCTCGAATAAAAGTATAATATCCACAATTAAAATATTTACATGAATCTCCACCAAAATAGATAAAATTAGAGCTTAGAAACGTGCACTAAGGAGAGAAAATAAAGAACTGGAGCACAGAGAGAGCATGTCGACAGTTGGAGCCTCAACATGGCCGCTGGCACAAGTTGTAAACATTGAGGCGTTACTGGAGCTCTGGCCACACCTCGCTGAGAAATACACGTGTTTTATGACTATCATGTGAATTGCCGTCGAGGGATCGTTGCAAATCCTCAATGTCGGAAAGCAGAAGGAGTCCACACGTTTGGAAATTGGGCGACATAGCTCACCTGTTGCTGTGAGTGGACTGAGTGTGGAAGGGGAGGAGAAGATGCCACGGAGAGACTTTTAAAACAGGTGTTACCGGGAGATTTGCAGGGACCGACCGTCCTCCTTCCACGGGGACAGGATGGAGCAGGAGGACGAGAATATCTCCCTCCTGCTGAACATGGGGTTCCCTGACGTGCGAGCCATCAAAAGGGCCCTAAAGCTGAGCAACGGGGAGGTGAACGAGGCCGTGATCTACCTGACGGAGCAGCCCCTCACCTCGTACTCCACCGTGGACGACCTCAGGGATGTGGAGATGGCCGAGACCCAGGGGCCGCCCACGTATGATGAGGTGGGTGGTGCAGCCGAAGATAGGTTTGGAGGTGGTGGTGTTATGGGGTATGAATGCGTTTTGGGGGTGATTTTCTGCGTCTGGTCTGCATCGTTAAATTCCTTTATTTTGATGTAGATAGGTTGCCTTTGATGTCTGGTTGGTAATATATTTTAATTTTCCACAGTCTTCCTACCCAATAATATTCCTTGTTTTAATTATTCGTGGTGTAGTTTGTATGAATCTTGGTGTTTTCTGTCGCAAATGATATAAGTGAAAGTATTGGTAATTGTATATGAAATGACTGCACTCCTCAGAAACTAAGTGCTTATTACGCCATCCATTCATAGGGAATCTTTAAACATCGCCCAGATTGGAAAAGTTGTAAATTCCGGGTGTGATGACAAATATCTTTAAAAATGTGCATTTGGAAGATGTCAGTGGGTAGGTTCATTAAGTATTTTTGGATTTTAGATGTAAATTTTCCGGACCTGACGTTTTGCTTTGTATTTCCACAAAGTCTAATAATTATTGTGTTTTTAATGCGTCACATCTATTATGATTCATCTTGTTGCCCTTACTTAGTTGAAATGCGCTATAGATTGCTAATATGATTTTTTATGTTTGACTGGCATCCTGCGGCTGGCCGTTGTATTACTTAGCACCGCGGCATCCTCCTGTTTTGTGCAACGATGATCTGCGCTGTATTATACAAACTTTCCAAATTGGAATATCACCGTATGAACCCAGAACCTTCCCAACACAGGAGTTTTGACTCCAGGCACCAAACGATTGATGTATTACCCTGTCAGGGGCTCCACTTCTGGACTAACACCCAAATGCCCTGAACTTGTCATCCTTGTGGCTTTTATTGTGAGCTATTTTCTCAATATCTGATGTAATGCTTTGTCTATGCGTTACTTCATGTATCACTCAGCGTAGTTTTTCCTTTGGTATAGTTGCTACTAGTGCCATATGGTACAAGGTAAATTTTGTTTGTAACAGACATAGTCTTTTATAATTGTTATTAGAGTGTCTGAGTCCCTTTTCTCGACAGGTACAAAAAAAGTTTCATTTCACAGCAAAATCCACCAAAACCCACTGGCCCTCTATCACTCGTCTTATATTGTACTTTCTCTTTCTGAATTTACTCTCGTCAATTTAGACAGTTTTTCCTGGGCCCCCTATCAATACACTATTTCACATGCACCAAGAGACAAGCACATCCCTACAGAAACTTGACCAATCGTTAATGGAATTATCACAAAGTTTTAATTCATTTCTAATATGTTCGTATGAGAATCCTTTTTGCAGAAATAAATTACAAAACTGTAAGTTGGTTTCCACGTCCAGTTTCTATTTGTCAAACCAGGTTTCTTTAAAAATTGTTCGGACAAAGACATACCGGCGTTTTTTCTCATGCCCCTTAGCACAAGATTTATTTATTTCTCATGCCCCTTAGCACAAGATTTATCTATCCTACATTCACTGCTGCAATTGGAACAATTAAATGTTTTCAATATAACATCATGAGCACGTATGTGATCCAAAATGTTTTCAGTATTTCCAACAAATTTCATCACAAAATCACCATCCCCATAGTCGCAGCTGGCGCACATTGTCATTGTCACTTGTTTCCGCCAAGGTAACTAGGGTCGAAATGTCAAGTGTACTCCCAAAAAGGGCGGTTGAATCAGTAACGATAGGTTCGTTACATTAACTGACGAATAATTTAAGTTATCGTAAATTATTGTTAATCTTAAATCATGTAGATAGATAGATAGGTAGATAGATAGATAGATAGATAGGTAGATATAGATATAGATATAGATATAGATATAGATATATTATGAACATATCAAATACAAGAAATGTAAGAATTATATTATCAGATGTTTTTTATACATGATACAAATATACTGGGGATATGTAGCAACATCTTTGAACTTTTCAGAAAGCTCACAGTATTGTTTACATTCAAGACGGTTCGAGATAACAAGGGTTGTGGACTCTTTTTCTTTTAGAGAGGCAACTTTTGAATTTCAGTTAAAGCACAACCTGTGAGGTCCCCACTATTTTATTAACTTCGCCGTTATGTATGAACACTAGTCAATAATACCATTATATTTTCCTCAGTATTTGTAGTGTAGCTGCCTTAATTAGTATTGCCATTTTATTATTGGTCTTATAATGATTAAAATTTTATCAAAATATTACTAATAACAGACATTAGAATAATAAAGAAGCTTTCAGAAATCAAGGAAAGGGGTAAACAGATACGATAGGTAGGACTAGTAACTGACTTCTTGGTGACCAAGCACTTGTAGAACTAATATTGCAGTGGGCATGGCTTGTATTCTTGCCATCCAGGCAGAGTGGGTTAAGGATATGTGCAGCCTCCTCCTTAAACTTCATATTGCTAATTGTGTAAAATTCCATTTTCAATTCTTATGTCCAAAAGTTGTCTAAGGATTGACTCTTATATTTACAAGTATCATATTTATGGATTACAGTTAGAATTTGATTGAAAAGATAGCAGGGGCAATGTAATTAGAGTAAATTCCAGGGATTATTTTATTTTTTGTCATTTTTTAAATATTTAAGATAGGTAGAATACTTGAATATGGATTATTTCTGAACCATTTGGATTCTCATCATTCAGTAACACATATTATTGTTGTTATTATTATTATTATTATTATTATTATTATTATTATTAGTAGTAGTAGTAGTAGTAGTAGTAGTAGTAGTAGTAGTAGTAGTAGTAGTAGTAGTAGTAGTAGTAGTAATAGTAATAGTAGTAATAGTTGTTGAAGTAGTGGTTGTTTTAGTCTTAGTTTTAGTAGTTGCAGATGTAGTAGTTGTGCTAGAAATAGTAGTAGGTTTTTCAACTTCGGAGATTGTTTTGTCATTTTATATATATACATGCATATGTCATCTTCATATAATGTGATCAATTCTTGTAAACATGACATATGCCAAGTCTGAGGAATTATAAATTTAAAAGTCTTGTATCCTATTATGAAGGAAAAGAATGGTAATGTGCATAAGTTTTTCCTTCGAAAAATCAGTTCATTTTGTGCTTGATGCTAGAATTAGGATGTAATGATGAAAATTGATGTTCAGATAATTCTTTGTGTTAACTGATGGTAAACAGTCAGACCAGTGGTGTCCCTAGATAATTAAAGATTATTGTTTAGACCAATGGTGTCCCTAGATAATTAAAGATTATTGTAATGTTTACTTAATTATATTTTTAGATTTTTTTTTTCAGTTCAGATATTGCAGCTTCACATAGTTGTAATATTCTGTTAAGTGTTCATCAAACTGCAGTCATTGATGGTATCATTTATTTTGTTCTTCTAGAAGAGAGTTACTAATACAGATATCTTGATATAATCATAAGAAAATTTATTTTGGTTTATTGAAAATAGAAAGAAGAATGGAAATGAAGAAGCTAAAATGGCAATGTAGCAAGCATGTTTAAAAAGAAGAACAAACAAATTTGACTAAAAGAGAAGCCTAAGAACTACAGTTAATGATAATGTTGGTGATTTTCGTAATACAATTGCTCCTTTGGTTGTCTGTTGAAGAAACACATTTTTTGGTTTTCTTTATAGCAACATTGAACCCCCAGGCTAAAGAAAACTAAAGAAATGATATTTCACAAGATTCTATATGAAAATGAAATTGATTTTAGAAGGGCCTATATACTCTTCAAAGAATTATATGGTTGAGAAACTCATGGTGCAAGTGAATGATAACATACAAGGTTATACAACCAATGTACCTACAATGTTCTGAATGAATATGTGCAATTTTTTTCAGGCTGGCGGTGACAATGGGAACAGCATGGAATTTCCAACAACCAATTTGTATGAGCTTGAGGGCCGTGTTTTTACCGACACCTGGTCAATCCCCTACAAACGAGAAGAGTCATTAGGAAAGTGTTTGGTTGCAGCAACACGTCTAGCTGAAGAAGGTATATATGTGATTTTGAGTATTTTATGTATTCGGAAGGAGGTTGTAGTGAAATATATATTTATTTTTTTTAACGCTCATCTAATTACCGTCTTTATTTCTAGGTCTTTGTGATGCTGATGAATCATGTCAGCGCTTTATGGAGCGATGTCTTCCCGAATGCTTTCAAAAACTACTCGCAAATGGTGCCGTGCGTAGATGGGGGCCTGAGATACAGGAAGGGGTGTTTAATTTGCTAGACTTATTGACAAATCTCGTCATTGCAAGACTTAAACAAGGGCCCATTCCTGAAGCTTTACTAAAAAATTCTTATGCTCTCGTAAGTTGTGTATCTTTCTAATTCCTTTGACTTCACAATTTTGTAAGATATGTTTTCCAAGCCTATATACAGTTTTTAAATTTTTGATAATGGTATCTAGAGCTAACTAAGCATGATCTTCTCAGGCAATGGATTCTGAATGTGAATGGAACCAGAAGAACAAGCACAGACCAGCAGAATTCATTGGAGACACTACATATGCTGAATCGCCATCACAATTTGTAAGATGTTTGATTTTGCTCTTAGTATGCAAAGAATACAGTTGATAGAAAATTGGATGATATATGTAATGTATTACATTTGTACAGGATTGAGCAAATAGTCTTTTCATTTGGAAAATTTTCAGGAATTATATGGTTGGCTGGTGGACCTCATTAATATATATGGCAACCGTGGTGGCCTGGAGCTGGTGGCTGGACGATTTGCTTCTGGAGAAGAGTTGACAGCAGGCCAGATGGCAGCTTTGCTTCTTCCCCTTGGACAGTGTGCTAAGTTCTTAATGCGGGATATAGTATGTCCTATTTTGCAGCCAGCTGTCACACAGGCACTGAATTACGTGGCAAATTTAGAGGAAAAGCAACTAAAGGGTCAGGTGAGTTTGGTTAAATGTTGATTGGATGCTTCTGTTTTTGTTTGAACTAAGTGGTGAAAATAGATTTTTGTGAGAATGAAGCATATTTTGTGAATGCTTTATGATTAAAGGAGGGACATGTGCTATAATCTCTCTGAATTATGTTTCAGAAAATTGGATCATGTTATGAGCTTCTTGAGGCTGTTCGGCTCTTATGTGTATCCCTTTGGCCAGAAGAGGTGCAGCGGACGAGTGACCTTAGGCTCGAAATGATCATTCGTATGTTAAAGACGCCTCACTTTTCTGCAAGAATGAATGCGCTTAAGGTTTGTATTTTATTTTTAGATCTCTTAAGAGTAGGCTTTGGTAGATGCTACCTTTCTTTACATGTTTTCTTGCACAAGATAATAAGTTTCAAATATGTGTTTAGGAAAGAATAGGAAGGATTTTTTTTAAGCAATAGTTTCATAAGTTTTCTGTAAGTATTTGCACAAATTCATGATTTATCAAAATTGTTAGTGATTTTATGAATATAGTTTAATTAAGATAATGATGTTTTTAAACCTCTGTCATGAATGATATCATAGTAAACTTCACTCAAGCAAGCTTCATAAACATACAAATATGAAAAAATTGAGAATTGAGATGCTGATATTATTTTCTGTAGAATGATTTATGTTTTTTTCTCTCTTTTAATTATATATCATAAAACAAACAATAAAGGTTTATCAATTTTGGTTAATATTTCAGGAACTGGCAAGACTCATTGAAGATAGTGAGAGACGGCGAGGCAATGTCATTGATGCTGACATTATTCAAGAGTGGATGACCAGGAATAGGGTTCTGTCTCTGGCTCTTGAAGGTAAGCTGAAATGATTTAATTGCAGATAAGTTATACATTACAGCATTAAGAACTTAGCTTTGATTTTGTTAAAGTAAAGTAAAAACCCAAGATTGCATGAATTTAATTAAAAGTACCACTAATTTTTTAAGGTAACCATTGCCATTGGTAAGGATAATTATGAACTAAACAAAGTGTGGTTGGAGACAAATGGAGTCTGTTTTGTTTTTGTTGAATATTTAAGTAAGATTATAACGTAATGATTAGCTAAGAAGAATGGTTATTTGAAGTAACATGTCTCAGAGAAATAGAGTATTTTATTTGATGATATATATCTCAAGTCTGTAATTTCATGCATGTTGGCACTCAGCATTATCAAACACATAGATATAAGATACATTGTGACATGGAATTTAAGAGCTCTTCATTCTGCATCTTTTGTATGTTTTGTGCAAAATTGAAACGGTAAACAAATATAAACTTTGCATATTTTAAAAGATCTCTCCTCCAGTTATTTTGTATCTCAGATTTGGATTGGATATTTCTTATTCCTTTGTAAAGAGGTTGGAATTGAATTATGGGATAAAGTTATGTACTTGATTATAGTTTATGTGTACGGATTATTACATTTGTGTAAGTTAAAGTTTTGCATATTTATAGCATTTATTAATAAATATTTTATTTGTTGCAGAATATATTTAACTGTGGTTTCATCAAAATTATTATTATTATTTTTTCAATCAGATGTATTGGTAAATCTTTAATTGTGCTCAACATAGGTAACATCGACCAAGTGCAGTACACTGATCGGATGAAGGAACTAGTTGAGTTTATGGGACCAAAGCTGCAGGAAGAGGAACTGACACGTATTTGGCACATGGCAGAAAAAGCCAGTCCCCATGTAGTAGACAACATTCACCGCATTATGGCTGCTGCTGCTACGCGCTTTAATCCGCACCAGTTTGATCATCTTCTTAGTCTTATCAGAAAGGTACTGAATAAGGTCTAAGGAGTCATCTCTTTAAGTTTGCCTTTGCTGGAATTTATTGATTGACTCACTTTTTTTTGTTGCTTTTTAGTTTGTTTGTGTTTTGTAATAGAATAGTAATTATTTTTCCCATTTTTCCCTCTCATGCTATCTTTAGCCTTCTCTATAGCTTAGTGTTGCCAGGAAATAGAGGTTATTAATTGCAGTTTGTTATTAATCTTTCCACATTTCACATAGAGCTGGGATGAAGGTAATGATCGGCTGAGAGAGAAACTGCTCTCCTTTATTGGAAAGATTGGCCAGGACTCTCGATTAGGTCGAACAGCTGAGAAGATGCTGGATGCTCTTTGGGAGCTTGCACGAGTTCCAGCCTTGCCTCCAAGATTAGTGCATCAAGCGATGAATGAACACCTTGCCATTCTCAATGAGTCAGCCACTAGGGAACAGGTATGTATGTTACCAGCACAAGAAATGCATTTTTGAAAGTAAGCCTTTAGCACTGTGTTTTCAAATGCATTGTGTTGAACTTATGGCCTTGTTTGTTTTTTTTAGCCTCTTTATTTTATTATCTAATATTTTGTTTATATTTCATAACTACAGTTGAGGAAGTCATACATAGTGCGATGTGTGGAAGATATTAAAAGAAGTCCTGCTGTTTATCTTCCTCTGAAGCAGCTACATTACCTTGCACGTTCCATTACAAAAGGAGGGGCTTCGTACTTCAAAACAGAGAAGGTCAGTACCATGCCACACTACTCTATACCACCCCACACTACACCATACTGCAATGATCACAGTAGAGCAGACCATACTGAACTAAACTCAGTAATATAAGCATTCATTTTATGATTCCAGGCCACCTTGTCAGATCTGAATCGCAGCCATGAAATTGTGAAACTCATCACCTCGAGCCTTAGCAAGTGCCACGCCCTAGCTGTGTCTGCAAGTGGGAACCAGCAGCCCTGTCCATCCACAATGATTGATGGGAAATATACACATGATGATGTGAGTGTCGAGTGCTGTTTTATATATGTTGAAAACTTGACGTAGAAGCAGAACCAATACAATTTGCCAAAGAATTTCATCTGTAGAGAAATCTTTGGCATTTGGAAAAGGTTCTTGTGATGAAAAGCTACAGATATTCAAGTTCTCTTGATTTATACGACGCAGCTATTTTTTTGTAACACAGCCAGGGAAATTCCATATTAAGTATCTGTGTTTGAAAGCTGCTGTGCAAAACAGTGATTATAGATAATGTAAATTTCATGAAGGAAAGTGATACTTTATTCATATATTTTTTTATTGCCTGTGTTAACCTTTGTTAATGAACTTGAAAAATCCTGTTAATTTTGGATTTTTAACAATAGTAGCTAATATTATTATATTTCTTCCTATCCTAAATTCAAGTGTGCAGACTTAATTAAAAGGTTGCGAGATAAATGGATCGTTAAGTAAATATTATCAATGTAAAATTTTCTTTCAGTATATGAGAGTGCACTTGGAATTTCTCCAGTTCTTGCTTAAAGAAGGTGATATTTATCTGGCTTGGGCAAGGTGCAAGGACATTTGGGAAACTCTTGTTGGGAATACAAATGCATCCGGTCATGATAAGGAGGTTAGTATCTGAATAATATCTGTGTTTTCCAGCAGAAATTGCAAAAGATAGCTTGACATATTTTGATTTATTTATTTTTCTTGTTCAGAAATATGTCTGGCATGTTCTCAGAATTGTGCCTAAATGTGTGTGTGTTTTTTTTTTTTTTTTTATCATTCTTTTTTAATAGTCATATAAGCTTTTCATATCATATCCCAGTCAGTTCAAATAAAAGTGTTTTATGCAGAAGGATGAGTAAGCTTTATAAGTAATGAATTTTCATGAAAATGATCATGTTTCAGACTTGCTTCACTTGGTTCAGTGATTGCCTGGGTGATCTTGAGAATAACACCCAGCGTGACCTATTCTGTGAAAAACTCCTTCGTCTTGATCCTGTAACCATGACTCGGCCTGCGTTCACCTGTTTTGTTGATTACTTCCATGCTGTGAATCTCAATGATCACAAACTGATAAGGAATGGAAATGTGATTGTAAGTAATTTATACTTCAATAGTTTTATTCTCTTATGCATATGAACTTGTTGATGGTTATGTAAAGAACATGCCTTAATGATTTTATTTTACATTTGATATTACCAGACTGTGGATAAGTTAGAACCCTTGGGAATGGAATTCATATGGCAGCTGGTTCTAGAGTGCCAGGACGAGCTACTTGCAGAAGATGCAATGAAGCTTTTGCTTGACATGTCATACATGTCATTATCAGCTCGACTCAAGCGTGACCCACCACAGTTGCATGCAAAATTCATATCCGAGTGCTACAGGAAGTTAGAGGTATGCATGAAAGTTTAACATTTTAATACTACTGTTTTGCATTAGAACTGGTATTTGTTTACATTGGTGTATAAGTCATGAGCTAAAAAGACATTTTTTATTTGGTTCCCTAATTTGCAACTTTCAGAAATCTATGCTACGTGTCAATGAGACAGCTGTTGGTGCTGCAGTGTCCACAGCAACTAAAACTCTCACTGCAATGGCAGTGTCAGACATTGGAACTCTGCCAGCTTGTTCAAGGTTAAATCTACATTCATTTTATTTTCCCATTATGAAATCACATAATTGGATTTAGAATATCATAAGATAGCTTTTTTATTTATCATTTTCTTTATTATTTTTATTTTTTAGAATAACCATTCATTCTTCATAAATTGACCCACAAGCCTCTGTAATTCCATCCTAAAAAGTCGAGAAGAGTGGATAATACTTTACAGTATATTCAAATTTTTTCCAGGCTTGTCTTGCATGACTATCTGAAAGATGGACTTAGGAAAGGTACACAGTAATTGGTTTACATTTGGCCAGTTAGCAAATTAAAATGCAATCATAAATTGTTCGGAATAAAAGTGTAAACTCTAAGTAAAATACAGATGTTGTGTTAATGTCTTCCTTTTTCTGAAGTGTACATTTCATTTATTACTGTGCTTTGTGTTTATACCTACTGCTTATATATGTAAGAAAGTAAATCATAATGAAATATGAAAATCAGAACTAAAAATTGATAAATGAACTAATTTGTCAGAGAATAAAAGGCTTTTAAAAGCATCAGAAGAGAGCTTTCATTGAAGAGAAACATGATAATAATTCCCTCTTAGACAATGGCAGCTTGTCTTTATTGTACTTCATTTGATTTGCGCAGACTGCATGAAAAAATTAATAGTATTACGAATACATGTTGATGTATTGTGCATTTTTTATAGATATTTTCTTTTCTTCAATGAGGGTGTTTTTAGTAGATGAAATTTTAGGGAAAGCTTTATTTACTTACGAACAGGACATCAGAATGCATGTTTCTGGGAAGGAAAGTAAAAAGTGTTTGCCTCATTAGGCTTTACTATACTTTTTTATTCTTATTTTATTTCTTTCTTTTCTTTTTTCTTTTCTTAGTCTATATAATGAATGTTCTGTAAAATGTTTGCATTTCCTTAAGGTTTATTCATACAAAATCACAAGTATTTATTCCATCATTGAAAGATACATATTCAGGTAGTAATATGAAGATTATTTTGGGTAGAATGATTTCTCCATATACATCTTAGATTATAGAAAATTTTGGTGAGAATTATTACTTTTTTTCCTCATTGAATGAAACATAAATCCTTTTCTCTCTTTGGTCTCAAATCCAGAACCAGCTGCATTCAACACATTCGGCGTGTACTGGTGCTTGCTGAACGCTACATCAGCTCCATAGAAGAACAGCACCCTGGCCCTCGCTCGTTACCCCCTCACGGTGCCTCTTTTACTGGTGTACCCATCATTCTCAACATAACTTGTGATTCTAATAAGTTGGATGTGAAACTAGAGGTTAGTTCCTTTGATATATGGGAAAGGCTTCTGCTCTGTGAATGTGCATAAAAAATTTAGGTTTTTAGGTTGGGTGATTGAAGAAGGGGTGTAATATCTTCCTTTAGGCATTTTTCTTCTAGTAATATTCAAGGGAAGAATGACTATGAATACTTTTGTAATAGTTTAGACTTCACATTTTGATAATGTATATGTATTTCTATATTGTAAGTAAAATAAATTATTTGCTGGTAGGCTCTAGGTATTTGTCTTATTTGCATATGATGTATGTATTTCGTACAAGCCAGTTCTAGTCTAAGATTACCTATATCAGTAATAATATTGTATTTTAATGCCTGTTGTTCATAATGATATGTCATTACAGTGTCACAGCAACGAACGGATTGGCTTGATACGAGGGAAGATTGCCAACCTTGCACGGGTTTCACTAGATCAGGTTCACACGCTAATGTTTGGTGAAGGTGGGAGTGGAGCGCTAATATCTGCAGCTGATCAAGACAACAGATTACTGCATCACATAGGTGTTCACACAAATACTCCTGTTGTTGCCAAGATAAATACAACTGGTGCTGCTCAACTAAAAGAAGTTAGTTTTGTTGATTATGTATTTCCATCTATACATGTTTTATTGTTATCTTATTGAATCAATAAAGTCCTACATTTCATAGCTTAAGATGAATGTGCTTTTGGAAAAGGTAACTGTTTTTGCTTTTTACTAATTCTCTTTTAACTTATTCCAAAGGTTGGGGATAACTGGGATGAGCTGCCAAGTGCTGCAAGTTATTGTGATACGGTTGAAAGTGGTATCTCAGATGTGGGTGCAGCAGGAAGCTCAGGAGCCATGGCAAGTGTAGCGGGTCCTTCCCGGATGGAGGCAGCAGGTGGAGCCTCTGCAGCTGTTGGGGACTGTCAGGGAAGCCAATACAACCTGGAGCAAGAGAAGCAGTTGCCTGGAGTTGTCATGTCCAGTCAGGGAAAGGATTTCTTTTCTATGCTGTATCAGCTGGCACTTCTCGATGAGCAAAGGTCTGTTTTTGTGTTGAAGTGTTATTTAGTATACACATATCTGCTGTTACAAATTTCTGATAGGAGTATTTTATAGATACTTCTTTATCTAGATATTTACTCTTCACATTGTTATATTTTTTTGTAATGTTCTTTATTTTTGTATAATTCCATTTATTTATCTCTTTCATTTACAGGATTGTTGAGGCAGTTCGTCGTGTCCTGTATCTTGTCCCAACTGATCCAAGTGTTGCAGATAAATTTGATCATATTTGTAGTGGAGGAAGTATCACCTCTGATGTCAGTCCAAGAACCACACCATATGGATCACCTGCTAAAAGAGACAAAGTCAGGGATAAAGAAAAGGAGAGAGAAACTGGAAGAGAAATTCTGCGCACTTTGTTGGATCTTGAAGCAACTGATATGACACCTTTCAGGCTTTTGTATAATATGGAGGTATGATGTTTTTTTCTTACTGTTTTAAGACTAATATTGGATAAATAAAATGAGGGAAAAGCTTATCTTGAGCCTAAACTAGCAGAATTTTGATGCACAATAAAAACTGTTGACAACTTTTCTTCGAATGTTCAGTAGGACTTATTATAGAGAAGGAAAACATGCCTGAGAACAAAAATTTACTTGTAGTTTATGTATTTTATTTATGCAGATGTTTGTTTAAATGACTACTTATTTTTCTAGAATGGTAAGATATGAAAATATAGGCCCTTTTTACTCTTCTCTGTTTCACCAGTATTTTCTGTGATTATTTTCAGGTTCTGTCAGGGAAAATTATGCCAGTGTCTCAAGAAGGTACAATGCATGGCAGTGCTCATTTTTGTGAAGAATTTCTTATGTGTGGTGGGTTGAGCCTCATTACAGCGCTGCTTCAGAGGGATTCTCTTCCTCAAGACGTTGACTATGAAATTCGCCAAAGTGTCTACCTCATAACTTTACAGATATTAAGGTAAGAATGATTGGTTGTCTTTAGAGCAAAAGGTTTATTTTTGCATAAATAGATTATAATTTTAGAGTGAGATACTAGGAACTGTATTTAACCCCTACAATCCGGATGATGTTACGTCATGGAAAAATCGGACAAAATGTCTGCGGGCCGGGTGATGCAAACTTTCCGTCATGAGAAAAGGTCAGCATGATGAAAAAGATTCGCCACAATTGCACATATCTCTTGGAGTGTGATTAGACTCATTTGGTGCTTAGAAGGGGGCTTTAGCATTATTCCCATTGATAAACGAATGTGGAATGTAAGGTGCATAAGCCATGACTGGAAGTGGCTCCAGGGAGGATGCCATTTCCATGCTGCACACCGTATTCCTGGCCACTGTGACCAACAGCGCAGGTTTTATTACGGAAAATAGAAAATTACGGAAATATAAGATATGTGACACAAATGACCAAAAAGCTATAAGAGTTTATGCAAAGTAACTTTGAAAGAGGGAGGCACAGAGTCTTTTCGCCACTCATAAAATGTTTAAGTGCGCCCGGCCTACGCACCGCATGGCCACTTAAATAGCCCACTGTCTGTATTTTTGGTACAGTGATTTCCGTGATGTAACTGGATCCAACGGGTTAAAAGCCTTCAGATCCGTGAGAATACTTACTCTATATTTTCTTCTTTAGGTATTTACTCTGTGGTTCTGCAACAGTAGGGCAGGAATTGCCCATCACAAGCCAGCAACCTCACCCGGGACCACCAAAACGTTCTGCCCTGGACCCATCAACCCAAACCAGTCCTCCCCCTCTGGCGTACTCATCCCTTACTCCTATCATTGCCAACAAAGTCATAGTGGTGAGTCTCCCAAACACATACATATGTGTAAGTGTATCCATATATGTGTATCTGTATCTCTCTTTGTTTCTCTGTCTCTCACTTTATCTATGGTGGCCTCTGATATAGGTTACAGAAGAATTACTGTATTATCTCGTAAGTCTATGGCAGTGGTTCCCAACCTTTTTCACTCTGTGGCCCCTGCCCAATATGTAATAATCTCCGTGGCCCAGTTCAGTGTCTGTCATCTTTTTTTATTCAGTTATTACTTGTTATGAATGCTGTAACGGTGTCAAAAGTAATTGGACAAGAACACTTTATGGAAAGATTCCAATTTATTGATATGTGAGAGATAATTATATGTAGGTACTGTAGGTGAAATAAAATTTGGTTTAATTTGATGTCATAATTTTCATATTGCTCCATCACCTCAAAAAACACCATTTGCCCCCCCTAGGGAGCCATGGCCTACAGGTTAGGAACCATTGGTCTTAAGGGACACTCAGTATCTATTTTGCTCATTTATTTTGAAAACAAACATTTCTGTATAGTGATGTTAGTTTGTCAGTCAATTTGTCTCTGCTGCAGGTCAGGCTTTTCGGAATATGAAAATATATATTTTTTTTTTTCTCCAGGGAATGAGCTTGGATGAATGGTGTGAAATGGTCTCCAGCCTCATGAGAGTAGCTTGGGCAGGAGCTGCAGGCAAGCTCTACCTGTCCTTGGCAACACTTACGCTGAGGGACCCTGCTCTCTCACCCCCTGAGACTAACAAGTCATCAAGACAAAGCAGCACTGGTATGTAAAGTTATTATTGTTATTATTATTAATTAATAATGATAATGATAATTGTTATTATTATTATTATTTTATTATATTATTATTATTGTTATTTAATTATATTATTATTATTATTATGATTATTGTTATTATTATTATTATTATTTATTATATTATTATTATTATTATATTATTATATTATTATTATTATTATTATTATTATTATTTTAATAATATTATTTTATCATTATTTCATCATTATTTTATCATCATCATCATCATCATCATCATTATCATTTCATCATCATTTCATCATCATTTCATCATTATCAAAGAGAAAAGGACTTGACTAAGATCAAAATACATGGACTTCCAATGGAGTCAATATCACCAGAAATCAGTGTGGGAAACTAAAATTAGAGGAATGTCAGTTTGCACAGGAAAAGGATAATCAGATGATGCACATAAACCCCAAGAAGATAACTGTCCCATCCTAAACAAAAATTATGGATGGAATGAAATGATGTAATAAGATCACTGAGGTTCAGATGTATGAATGTATGAATATACAGAATGAAAGGGGAACAGAGGACCGTAGAAAAGGCAGTGGGGCAGGGCAACATAAACAGCAGACCCTGCCATCTTACAGTGTTGTGTGAAGTGGAAATCAGAAACATGCATCTGAGTTTTAGGTAAGGAACACCTGCTACCCCCCAAGATTGGGTAAAGAGATTTCACTAAGGGTGTGCGCTTGGACTTCAGTCTATGACCACTCCAAACTTCAGTGGTAGCAATGCTTGCAAGAAGGAGTGTAAGTGTTGTGTGCTACCCAACTGCTACCCAGTGGAGAGTTGTTACCATCTTCAAATTTTCCCACAGTGATATGAATGGAGCAGGATGGAAAGAATTCCTGTTAGTGTCTTCTTTTACCATTAATTTCTTCCATACATGTGAGCTAAGAATACAGAGAATTCTCATTTCTTTTTACAGGAAGCAGTCACAGCTCAAGTAGTGATAGTGAGGGTGTGCTACAAGGAGGTGTGTGTGTACAGCAGACAACCATTCCACCCGTAGATTCTCTCATTGCCTCTCAGTCGTTACACCTTCTTATAGCCTTCTTAAGATTCCGTCCTCAGCACATAGGTAAGAAGAAAAGTCCCTTGGGATAACATAAATGTCCTTGTGGATTTAGTAATGATATAGATTACTTGCTGATAAAAACAAATTGTGATGAAGATAAAGAGAGTAGGTCTCTAAGAGGAAGAAAGATACCTTAACAATTATATTGATAATTTGAAACCATATAAATTTATGGTAATCCACAAAAATAGTGGTGGTGTTAAAGTAGTGATAGTATTGTTTAATGCAAAAACTGAAAGTGTACATTGGAATGCAGAACGGTGGTATGGGATGGCGAATGTGAAGGACTTCCTTGTTGATGTGCTGGTTGGATGTAGTTCACAGGAGGTACGAGAGGTTGCATACCTACAATTTACCAACCTTATCAACATTGCTACACCAACAGAGATGCATCCGAAACAGTTTCTTACTCAGGTAAGTGTTTTTAACATTTCTAATGGGTATTGCAGCTAGAAATCTGTGGTATGTTTGTCAAAGTTGTCTAGTTTAATAAGATGAAAAAAATGGTATGGTTTATGTACTATTATCATTGAAAGTAATTTATGTTGTTTTAAGTACATGTTTTTGTATGTCATAAGATATTTTAAGATGTTACAGGATTTAGTTAGTTTACTGTACTTTGTATGGATTTTGTTTAATATAACTTAGAAAAAAAGATGTTCAAGGTTTTGTTATTCTTTTTCACCAAACCCTAAAATATATGTTGTTTAAGGAACTAGGTTTCCACACAAAAACCTTTAATTTTACTGAAAAGGGTTTAGGTCATAACTACAAGACCAATTGTTTAACATATTGGTGCTGCATACATGCCCAGTTGACTGTGGTTTTATTTATTTTCTTTACACAGATGGCTGCACAAGCACAGTCACTATACTGATTGCACCAGATTACCCCATTCCTTGAATTTTCATGGGGGAAAATAGCTTTATCTTTGCCACTGTTATTGTTGTCAGTACTTCTGTTATTATCATTATCACCAATAATGTTTTAATATTATTAAGAGTTATAATAGTAATAACAATAAAAACCTTTCTTCCTGGAAAATCAAGGAATGGGTAAATAGGAGAGGTTGGGTGTTAGTAACTGATTCCTTAGGGACTAATCACTTTTGGAACCATAAATACAATTTATGTTGCATAATACCTTTGTAGATGTTCTCTACACCTTGTAATACTATTATGTGAGATTGCCAAAAACAGTTTAAGTTGTGCTGCATTTGTGTGTTAACAAAGGACCATTTGAAAGTCAGTGTAAGATCATCAAAAATATTGTTATGATTACTAACCTGATCAACATAATTCATTACAAAAATGTAACATTTATGGAATAAGTGTCAGGCATTGTGATCTTTAGTAACTCACCTTAATTGTATAAATTATGATACAATCTTTGTCAATTCAAAACACGCAAGAAATTGGCTTAGTCATAATTTATTTGCAAAGACCAATAAGATGTGAAAAGAATCCACATAAGATGCCATATCCTTTCACTGGATGTGCTCAAGAAAATAATGAAGTGGCATCCTTGTGTCTTTATTTCTGGGAGGGACAGATGGAAGCATAGTACAAGGGGCAGGAGTGTAACAGGAAGGACCTGCCCCAGGTCAGGGGCTAACCATGGCTTGTGCACCACAAAGGAAGATACTGATACCAGGTGTAGAGAATCCCTTCAAGAGACTATGCTGACTATGCCTCTGATCTGTCATATTCCCATTGGTACATTATTACATGGCAATCAATTAAAAGATCCACTTAGCTCAGGAATTTGATATATTGCTTATACCAGAGACATTTTCTCTAGCAGAGCATATAATATAGAACATCTGTTTTCAATTCTTTCATTAAAATGGTGTGGATAGTAATGTATTAATAAGCTTATTATGAAGAGGAGAAGAAATATTAATAAAAATAGGAAGAAGTCTCATTCCCCACTTTTGGTTTCTCTTGCTCAATGATATGTGTGTGTTTGTTGTCCTGACCTTATCTCGGGTTAGACTCGTATGGCTCTTCAATATTGGTAGAATACCCATGGCAGATTTTTTTTTTTTATGAAATAGATATCAGTTGGGTTATCAGTTTTTATATTTT